TATCTGCCACCTCCCTCCTCCCTCCTGACTTCTATATTGCCCGCAAGTCCTATCTCTTTCTTCACTACCCACCTGTGAAATTGGTATGGCCTAACTCCTCCGGGGCTGCCTAGGAGCATCTTAGCAGGGCTGGTGATATCACTGGAGTGGGCAGGGAAGGGGGAGGAGGAGGAGGAAATGGCCATTGTCAATGTGCGTGTGCTGAAGGCAGGGCATGGGAGTGAGCTAAGGCGATATTAATTTAACAATAGGCGTTCTGCCCATTTGCGATAGGAGAAGTGGAGGAAGGGAAAAGAAACATTTTCCATGCATGCATCTACAGCTGAGCATGATAGAGAAAGAGGATTGCTGTACACTTGTGGTTCAGAAGTGCGATAATGTGTGTCTTGTGTAATCACTTTCTTTGATGTTGGGGTTGCTTCTGAAGTTGCATGCCCAATGCAGGGACACTGTAGATCAATGGTTCTCAAAGCTGGTCCGCTGCTTGTTCAGGGAAAGCCCCTGGCGGGCCAGGCCAGTTTGTTTACCTGCCGCGTCCGCAGGTTCGACCGATCGCGGCTCCCACTGGCCGCAATTTGCTGCTCCAGGCCAACGGGGGCTGCGGGAAGCAGCACGGGCCGAGGGGTGTGCTGGCCGTCCTTCCTGCAGCTCCCATTGTCCTGGAGCGGCGAACCACGGCCAGTGGGAGCCGCGATCAGCCGAACCTGCGGACACGGCCGTTAAACAAAGCAGCCCGGCCCGCCAGGGGCTTTCCCTGAACACGCGGCGGACTGGCTTTGAGAACCGCTGCTGTAGATCACAGGCAAGGGGTGATGCTGGTGTAGTGTTTACAAACTGCTCCCAGCACAATTTGCTCCAGGTAGCAGTTACTGATCTCTAGGGATTGGTTTTTGCTGCCCTGTCATCATTTGTAGTCTGGCTAAGAATATAAGAATGCTGGGTCAGACCAATGGTCCCTTCTGACAATGGCCAATACCAGATGCTTCAGAGGGAATGAACAAAACAGGCAATCATTGAGTGATCCACCCCTTGTCCACTCCCAGCTTCTGGCAAACAGAGGTTAGAGACACAAGGATGGGGGCACTCCAGTCACAAATTTCTACCATTGTGAAATCTCTATTTTAAATTTAGACACAAATAAAGAAAGGTATTTTTGCAGTTTGGAAATGCATTCTACAGAGCTAAACCTCAGGACTATTATATATAAAACCCTGAATGGAGATGATATTCTTTATTAGTGTCTTTCCTGTATAGATTAGGCCATACAATTTCTATGTTAAACAAACACTGAATGGACACAAAACATTAAAAACAGCATAACACATTGTAAACAGTATTTGGAATACTACGTATACTTTTTAAACACAAGCTGTTAGGCAGAAAAATTACTGTTGTTCCTTATACAGACTTCCCCCATTGTCACTGTTATGCATATTGAACAACTAGTTTTCAACGCAAAATTTGCAGTTCTGCACACATGAGCACACTTCCCTCTGATCTTATTTCAGAGATATTTTCTCAGGCCTTTTCCTCACTGCTAAAACTGAACTGCCTTGACCTCACTGTGTTTTTACCTCAGAATAGCTCACGTACCTTAGTTACTTTGAGGTAAAAAACAAAATCACCCTTTTTAGCAGTGAGGAAAGAGCATAACGGCTAGATTCTTACAGGGACTTAGGCATTGTGATGCTGAGCATCACAACACCTAATTTTTAAGTGTTTATCTAGAAAATCACAGGAACAACACTGCAATTCACAAAAGCTGAGTTAGGTGCCCGTTCTTCCTATACAATGAATGGGAAGAAATTGGCTTCTAAGAATGTGACTCACAAAAGCCAGGTCACTAGCTGGACTCCCCCAATGTAGCCAATGGGTGATGCCAATGAGAGGCGCGTGTCCTAAGCCTTGCCCCTCTCACAGAAGTTGGGACTGCAGGGAGGCACCTATCCCTGCTAGCTATCCGCAACTGGGAACCACTCTCCTGGGCTCAGGCGTCTTAGGCGCCTAAGCTGTTTTGTGTCAGATTGAGCTAGGCAGGTGCCAAACTCCACACAAAGCAGCCGGAGGAGGTGGTAGTGGTAGTGCCTACCTTGTAAGTTTAGCCCAGTGGTTGGAGAACTCACCTGAGATGTGGGAGACCACTGTTCAAATCCTCTCTCTCCCGCTGCCAAGGAGGGAGTTGAACTTGGAGTCTCCCATATCCAGGTGAGTGCTCTAATCACTTTGCTAAAAGTTATAAGGTGAGCAATGGCACAACCACCCCACCTCCTTCTCCAACCAGGCTTTGAATGAAACCCCATCTAGTAGGCAGCCTCTGAGCACTCCTACCAGATTGGGCCCAACCCACAAAATAGGCATTTGCCAGCCTATCTGCCTTGATTGGTGAGTCACTCTGGGGATTTGGTGGGAGATAGGCATCTGGATGCCTAGAATAAGGCCTGCCCTGAGGCTCTGCTCCCACTTCCTGTTTTTCCCCCATGGCCCCACCCATGCTGCTCCTCTTCCTGACCTCACTCCACCTCCCTCCCCCGAAGCGTGTGAGAGCTCAGGGCAGCTTGGGCTGGCCCAGGACTCGGGGAGGCTGGGGTCATCTGGCGGGCCAGTGCTCAGGTCAGCTCAGACTGGCCAGCTGGCTGTGGCTTAGGCCAGCTTGGGCCGGCCAGCAGCCTGGAGTGGCTGTGGCAGGCAGGCCAGGGCCTGTTTGGGTCAGGCGGTAGCCCAGAGCTCAGGGCAGCTGTGGCGGGTGGGCTGGGCCTCAGGCCTGCTTGGGCATTAACTTCACAGCTTTAGCATGTCTATGTAAACCAGCCTTTACTAAGAAAAGGGAAGGGAATAAGGGAAATTGAGGGGGGAAAACGGACGTGCACCCACACACACGGCAGACATTCAGATGCAAATGCTTTTGATTATGTCCTCCCCACAGTCAGTATCAGAGTTGTCAAGCCACAAACAATAATGGTGCATTTAACATCTCTGAGTCAGCATTATAGTGTGTCTCCTCACTGCTAAGAAAATGTTTTTACTGTGGGGTAACGAACGTGCATTAGCTTTCCCACTGTAAAAATATAGTGGAGATAAGACACGATAGTTTCACAAAAGGCAAACTAGGTTAGGTCAGCACTGTGTCCCCTGCCAAACCAATGCAAATGAGTTCCTGATACTGCCCCCTGACCACAGCTGCTTGACCCACTTGTGCAGTAAGTCCCCCCCGGCCCTCCCCTCCGCCCTGGCCGCACAGCAGAGAGCGCGGCCTAACCCTGCCCATGTGAGGGCACCGGGTGGCTTTAATGCGTGTTACTGAGCACGCTCCGTATCAGCAAAGTTGCAGATTGCGATGTCACATGGGCAATTGGAGTTGTTGCCAAAAACTTTGGACGCCGCATAAGAGCAAAAGGGGGGAGGGATGTGACGTGACGCGCAATGCGTTTGCACTGGGTGAGGGAGCGCTGCAGTTTAACCCCTCGGCTGCTGGCAGATAGCTCCATTCTTTGTCCGTCTCGCGCCATGGTTGCTGCATGGGGTGGCCAGTCTGAGCTGGGAGCACCCCTGGATGCAGAGGTCCAAGTGTGTCGGGGGGTTGTCATGGTGACTGGTAATAGGGCGCTGTTGTAGCATGAGGACCATGGGCCTGACATCAAGACCCCTTCTCCCCCGTCTGCTGATGTGAGGCAGGGGGCTGAGGAAACAGGTAGGAGTAGGCCCTGTGCTGAGGGAGCTCCCCTGCTCTGTCCCCGGCCCCCACGTGGGGGAGGGTCTCCACTGAACTGGGCTGGTCTGATCAGGTCACTGTGTGATGGTGAATGTAGCTGAGCCGGTTCCTCGGCCCCAGTGGGAGGCAAAGCCCCTCTGGGCCTGGCTGGCACCAGGGCTGTTCACTTGCCTTGGGGCTGGGTCACCTGCCACTGCTGCTCTCCAGGCCGGAATGGTAGAGGAGTGGGACTTTCAATAGCTGTGAGCCTAGCAGATAATAGTGATGGTCTTTTTTAAGCACCATTATCACTTGATGTTTTCACACTTGTAGGAAATTGTGTGCGCATGTGAGGCAATAATTATTTAATGACCATCTCTGAGCAGTTCTCAAGCAGTGTTTTTCTTACATTGCCTAGCTGTATGTTTTGATTACTGTTGCTGGAAATGTTTTTCTGTTGGTCTGTGCATGTATGGTGAAATCAGCGTTGACTCATGTTTACTGATAAAAATCCTTCCAGGCTTAACGACCAACACTAATGTTCCTGTTTCGGTAACTCTTTACATGTTGCAGAGCTCTCTGACATGCAAGCTGAAATCAGTCACCTGTGGAAATGAGCAAGGGAGTGTTTCTTGCCAAGTCTCAAAAAAAATAAAAATGGCTCTGCCTTTCAAAACAAGCCCAACCCATTTCAGAGGGAGGGAAGTGGGAATATTTATACAAATTCCATATTTTTTAGTAATAATGTAAATACACACAAATCTATTATTTTAGAAAGTGTAATGTGTAACAATGTTGTATGCAGCAAAACTAGTCCTAGAAATAAAAAAGGGGTAGAGGAGTGGGACTTGCATACAGCATCTGCCCCCCAACCCAACCTGCAAGGAGCTTGGGGTAGGGAGTGGGACTTGCAATGCAGCGTCTTCCCTGCAGGCTCAGTGGGCTTCCATGCACCTTTTCCGGGCTGTAGCATCCCACTCTGGGGGGGCTGTGGCTCCCCTTAGACAGCCGGGTTTCATCCTTACTTGGGCTGGGACTGCACCCCTCAGTGCCTCCTCTCACTCCTGCTCCTCACAGTCACAGGCTGACCGGGGAACAGCTGCACCCGCTGTTTTGGGTGACTGCAGCTTGAAGTTCAGACCTCAGAGCCCCCCACAAACACCTGGAGAATGCAAATGCTGAGCTTGTTATATGCCCCGTGCAGGTTCCGGGGCGGCTGGAGGCGGTATCTGCTACTCAGCGTCCCGGCTTCGTCAGTCATCTCCCGGGAGTCCGAGGGAGGGAGGTGACGGGTGAACCCGGGAAGGTGAGTAGCACATACCGCCTCCTCAGCCGCCCCAGAACCTGCATGGGGCATAACAAGAAGCAAACACTTCCGGCGGAAGCCCGCTCCCAGCCGGCGCACAGCCCAAAATAAAGCAGAGCGGGCGCCCGCCGCGAGCCCCCGAACACCCCTCGATGACATTTAGAGCCGCTGTGGCCCAGCAAGAGCCCCGGGCCGCTTCTCGGCGCGGAGCTGCCGCGGCTGAGGCGAGTGAGCAGGCGCCGAGAGCTGCTGCTGCTGCGGGAGGCTAAGGAAAGTCTCGCGGAGAAGAGGCCTGTGCTGAGAGGCCGCCTTGCAGCGAGCCTGGCGTGACTTCGGCTTCCCGGTCAGCCCCCGGAGATCCAGCGGAGGGACAGACCGCGCGGGGGGCTCCCGGCACGGTGAGTCCTTCACTCCCTGCGCAGTTTCAAGCGGGAGAGAGCGAGAGAAACGGGGTTTTCTTCAAACGCTTCTTGGGTTTTGTGCTTCTCTTTAAAGTCACACTGGAGGAATATTAGCGGAGACTATTACAAACATTGCATCTATCCCCCATGTAAGTATTCTCACTCTTCTTATCAAACTGTCTGTACTGGGCTATCCTGATTATCACTTCAAAAGTTTTTTCTCTTACTTAATTGGCCTCTCAGAGTTGGTAAGACAACTCCCACCTGTTCATGCTCTCTGTATGTGTGTATATATATATCTCCTCAATATATGTCCCACTCTATGCATCTGAAGAAGTGGGCTGCAGTCCACGAAAGCTTATGCTCTAATAAATTTGTTAGTCTCTAAGGTGCCACAAGTACTCCTGTTCTTTTTGCAGATACAGACTAACACGGCTGCTACTCTGAAACCTGTCATGTATTGAGTGTTCTTTTACATTTGTTTACTCCTTTTCTATGTCAGGATTGAATAGTCTATAAATAAATACTAGATTGGAACGGGAACCAGATGCATAGAATTGCGTGATTTAAAAGGTGTAACACTTTGCATTAACCTTGTTGGAAAGTTTTATAAATTCTGTTAAAATTGCCTTTTATACTAGAAGTAGATTTAGATTATAAATTAACTAGAATATTGTATTTAGAATAATTATAAATCTTGGCATTTAACATTTACAGGTAAATTACAAACCTCAATTTAATCCTCAGCACACCCATTTTAGTTACTTAATCTCAGTTTAATAATTGAAGCACAGAGCTGTCATGTGACTTAGACAAAGTCTACTGTTTTGTTCCCTTATTAAGAGTCAACTAATAGGACCAGAGCATCCTATCTATGGGTAAGTGTCTGAAGGGTAAGAATGAAAACAAGAGAAGGCTGTTTTAGGGTTATTAAAGAAGTAAAAACCTTCCCTTTTTTTTTTTTAAATGGAGACAAACTTAAAACTTGTTTGTACATATTTTACCTGCTGCTATTACAAGATGCAAGTGATGCTGAAAATTACCATAACTGAAATAGTAAAGTGGATACAGACATTTTCCCATTTGGTTTAGTTTGCATATAGTCAATTTCACTGTTGCCCTATATTCAGTTTGCCCTGTTTGGGGTCTTCAAATAACATTTGAGAGAGAAACATTTTTTAAAGTTTGGGAGACAAAAATGACAATGAAGTCCAGGGAAAATCTAGTATCTGAAACTTTTTAATTAAATTTTTAAAGCTGATCAGATTTCACAGTGTCCTTTTATGTAGAGCCAAAAGTGTAAATGGCATTTCAATAATTATAATCCATTCCCTCAGAAAGTTTGCAATCTAAAGGTATGGAGAGGTAAAATACATAAACAGACATCATTTTAGTCTATCAGGTTTAGCAGAATATGTAGATTTTCAGAAATGTCCTGCAGGAGTTGGACTCAGGATTCATTAATTGAGAGATTGCCAAATGGTAGGAGTGATAAGGCAAACGCTAAAGGGAACAATAGGAGAGTTGCTAAAGTACAATGTATAAAGCAAGGAGAAGTGTAGCAGGAAATAAGGACAGAAGTGTCAGGAAGGAGGTGCAATTCATGTCTATTATTGTAAATACATTTCACAATATTAGAAATGATTTCTGGGTTTGTATTTTTATTTCTGATACATATAAATTTTTCTGTAATATCTATAAAGCACTAGAAGTCCCTTCTCTGGAGTAATTTAAAACTGAAATGGATAAAGCAATAGAATAGTGATTCTTAGACTTGTGAATGACTATTGGTTAGTTCCAATGGCGTCTTAGGGGATACTTGGTATATGAAATGGCAGGTGTTTAAAGAGAGCAACTTTAGCTTAAGGCAAGCAGTAGACTGTAGAATGAAAAAGTTTGAGAACCATCATGTTAGAAAATAGACACTGTAGCTAAGAATCCTGTGCTGGCTAGATCTAATACATCTTCATATGCAAATTTTCTGACATTGAGGACAGCCAGGAGATATTTTGTGTCAAAACATTGTACCTTTGGCAAAAATATTCTCATTCATCCTCATGAATGTACCTTACATATTTATGTATTTCAAAGCCAGGGTATGTTTCAGCGAAAGACAAGCAAGTCCACTGGCCCTTCGGCTAGTGCAGAAGAGACACAGAAGAAAGATACTGCAATGATAAATTTGACTAGACATGAAAAGGAAAAATATATTCCCAGTGATGAACCTTCTTCAGCAAATGCAACTGGTGACCAGAAAGAGAAACCTGCGTTAGAAACCAAAAAAGAACGTGCACATTCAGGACATGGAAAAACTGCTCAGGCACATGACCTGAAGGCATCCCTGACCAGCCACGATTCCCATAAAAACTGTGAAGTAAAGCTGTCGGCATCAAGTAGCTCTTCAGCAAAGGAGTCATCTGTAGACAAGTGAGTTTTTATTGAAAGTTTGCTGTAAATCAGGTATTTTAATTTGTTTTTAATATTAATGTAAGTAAAATAGGCATAAATGCCAAAGGATTTAATAGTTGTATGTAGGTAGTTAGTGTGCATTATTGCTGCATGACACTTAGCTTGAATCTTTCACTTCCTGAGTTGAAGGGATTTGGCTGCATCTCAGTAACCTGTGTGTAGATGGATCTCTTGGTACTCCATAGCAGTCCCCTTTGGCCAGTCTAGAAGTGCTGATGAGCTTTGAAGACCTTTAAGCTGGATGCAGGGCCTTGAGAATTGTAGGAATACAAGGTGGTACTGTAAACCAAGGAACCAATCTTTTATAAACACTTAATTCTAGGGGCAGGGGCTAACTACTGGGAATAGGAATATATTTTATCTTAAAATTCTTAGTCTCCGCTGTGAAAGAATGCTCTGATATTTTGTACTCAGTGGAAGTTCTGTCTGCAAGGACCACAAGAGTAGATGGGTTTAAACATCATCTGCAATCTTTAAAAGGAGAAATTAAGAAAAAATGGGGAGGTGGGCAGATGGCTGGATGGGAACTAGCTGATCATTTTGTGAGCACCCTCTGCTGGATCTTCAGGATTCGTTTAATTAACTAGTTTTTATTCCCAGAACTTTTCCAACTCTGCGTATTTCTAGAGTTTTGATCTGTTGACCCTGACTTTTTAAAGAAAGGTTTGACTTAAATATAGAGGAATGCTGGTATGTGAAGAAGATTCATAGATTATAGGACTGGAAGGGACCTCGAGAGGTCATCGAGTCCAGTCCCCTGCCCGCATGGCAGGACCAAATACTGTTTTGGAACATTTTGCTTCCCTCAAGAACAAAGGCAAAACTCTAAGACCTGTGTGCACTAGAAAATTAGGTTGGCATAAGATAAAATCCACATCCCTGGGTGTTAAACTAACCTGAGTCCCTGCATTGACACTGTTAGGTCGGTGGAAGGATTCTTCCATCGACCTTGCTACTGCCTCCCAGGGAGGTGGATTACCTACACGGATGGGCGAATCCCTCCCGTTGGCATAGGTAATGTCTACACTGAAGTGCAACTGGCATAGCTGCAGCAGCGCAGCTATGCTGCTCTAGCATTTTGAGTGTAGACAAGCCCTTATTGAAGTGAGAGCAGGATCAGAGAAAATCAGTCTCTCTCGATATATCTATATATAAAACCTCAGGCCCAAATCTGTGATCTCATGCAAGTAAGAGAAGTAAGATAAAGTTGGGGACTAGTTGTCTGAGTGAGGATTTGCTGCAAAGGATCCATAAAGAGAAACTGGTGTTCTCAAAGTGGGAGACCTGTGGGAATCTTTAGGGAAATGAACCTATTGACGTTTTAAATGGGTATTTATAAATAGTGGAAAGTGAAAAGAAAATAAATAAATATAAATGTGGCTGCTCCTTTTCCTTCGTATAGATTGATAAAATGGTAGAGCAAGGAAGTGCTTTACCCTCATTATTCCATGACCCATGCCTTATTTACTAAACACCATCCAATGTGTACAGTGAGTACAAAATTATTCATTTCCTCATGGTGCTTTCTAAGGCGCTCATCAAACAGCATTATTTTTAATTTTAGTTGAGAAAAGTGAATAAGTATGAACATTGGCTTGAAAATGCTACTTATTTCATGTTTTCACAAACTTGCCACTTAAGTAAGTAATCCCCTTAAACAAGTATTGCAATTTTATGTATTTGAAACTTCCAGCACAAAATAGTTTTTCTGTTTTCTCATAGATTGATCTCATAGACTTCATGAAGTCAGCCTCCTCTATTTTTCATTTATTTTAATTTTTGAAATTAGCTGTTGCTGTGTAATAAAGGCTTTTGTGCTTCTATATAACTTATGTAGTTGAGTATCTGGACTTATCAGTATTATGAATAATACATCTAATCATCACCATCATTAAAAAGGATTTACATAATCCTCAAGATCTCCTTTTAAAAATGTAAAATAAAAATGGTAATTAACTGTATTGAAAATGCAATAAAACAGGAACTTCCCCCTCCCCCCCCCTCTGATGCTTCATACAGTATTTTGAATCCTGTGGTCTCAGTCCTGGTAACGCTTCTTTTTTTAGTAGTCCCGTTGAAGTAAATGAAGACTAGTCATATTAATAATTGTTTGCAGGATTGGGCTATTGTCTCCCCCTTCCCTCCATTTGTAGGGTTTTTTTTAATGTTTGTCCGCTCTGAAAATTCTTGGTCTGCCTTAGTTTGTGGTATTCTCATCCTTACCATTTCTCCTCTTCACACTTCGGTTATATTATCCATTAAGAGTCCTACACATATCTGGGGTTAGTTTTATCCTGGTGTGTACAACATGCAGCTCTTTCTCCCCCTTTTAAAGTTCTTGGGTACCATCTTCCTTCCTGACTGTTTTTACAATAGAACAAAATCTTCACCTAAGTGTTATTTAAGAACTACTATTAATGTTTGAATTTAAAGTAGAAGATTTTACTTACAGCCTGTTTGGGGTTCTTGTTCTATTTAGGTCATCTTCCTTTATGCCCATTGTATTCTCAAGTTTTCTAATGGCACCTGTTTTGAGAAGAAATTTCTGTCTCTTCCTTTGACCCAGATACACACAGAAATTGCAGTGGGTGCAACCTTTTTTTGTGCACACTCAACTTGAGTGTTTTTCACTCTCAATTTTAAAGGAAGTGCTGCTCACACCAATTTTGCTGACACCCTGCCAGCAGAAAGTGGGGTAATATCCTAAAAGAATTGGATATTAGCTTGCCCTGAAATCAATTAACTATTACATACAAAAAACGTTCCTCGAAAAAAAAACACATTCTTTAGACTGCCAAGTTGAACACTGGAAACTTAGTGTCAGAAGTTAGGTTGCTCATTTAACTTCAGTTCACCTTCCTTGTTCTTTTGTATACAGGCAGTTAATTAAAGCTTGTATTCCAGTGCATTTTTTTTTCCATAGGACCCTCTGCCTAATTCAGTGCACAGATTGGATAGTGATAAGAGAATGAGGTAGCTGCCCAATATTTTTATTCTTATAACTCTTACTGATCCCATATCTATTTACTGAATACCATCCAAAGCCTGCTGTGAATACAGAGTTGTTCATTTCCTCCTGGCCTTTTGTAGGGCACTCATTCCCATAATATCAGAGTGCCTCACAAACATTAATGAATTGATCTCCACTGAGAGATGAGAACGTTATCCCCATTTTGCAGATGGAAACTGAGACAGAGTTTTGCCTGAGGCCACACAATGAATGAATGTCAGAACCGATATAAGTACTCAGGACATCTAGATTTACCAGCAGGAGTTGTGGGGAAAAACAACTTGAGAGAGAGCAGGACAAATGTATGAGTGTGATTGTATGATGAGGTTGTTCGTAATGGTAGGGGGCAGAGCTCAGCAGCCCTGAGTCTCACTTCTGGCTTATGTCTCATGTTCCTAAAATCTCATGCCTCAGGGTTTCAGCTGGCCACCTTCAGGGGTCAGGAAGGGATCCTCCCCCTCACCCCACAATGTATTATGATTTTTATTTTTTTTTAAATTGGTCCTTTGAAGGATAAAAGATGGCCACAGCTGGAGAAATGGGACACTGGGCTGGGTGGACAAATGCTCTGAGGTGGCACTCTCTCTGGCTGGCTAGTTCTTGCTCACATGCTCAGGATCTGATTGTCATGTGTGGAATAGAGAAGGAATTTCCCCCTATGTCAGATTGGCAGTGTCCTCGGGGGGGGTTTCACCACCTTCTGCAGCGTGTGGGTGCGGTTACCTGCCAAGATCATCTAGGTATATCTCACTTAATCATTTCCCTGCCATTGTGGGGTGCTTAGGTCTATGGTGCACCTCGGTCCCTCCTGTTTTGCCCGTGGCACAGAATAGCCTAGCCTTCTGAGGGTGTAATACTTTGGGCTAATTTCAGTTGTTGGGTTTAATGTGTGGATGGATGCAGGATGATGTTGGTGTCCTGTGATATACAGGAGGCAGATGATCCATTGGTTTCTTGTTCATGTTTCCAGACCACACTGCTTTACTGACGGAGATGCTAAACATCTGCAGCCCTCATTTACTTCATCTGCAGTTGTTTGTGAGTGCTTAGCACTCCTGCAAATCAGGCCCTGGATGATTAAAGTTGGGCACCTGGGAAATTTTGAAACACAATTACCTGGAAACACTTTGGTTTAAGAGACTTGCTCAGTATCACATAGAAACCCTGATGGAAGCAGGGATACAAATGAGTGCTCCTATGTGGTGTTCATCAGTCTTAACCATAAGACTACACTTTTTCTTCCTTCAGTCCACTATCTCATTCACTGCACACCTCCCAGCTTCTGCAGCAGATGAGGCAGAGATCTTACAAACAATCTCATTCACCGCACAACTGAGTTCTGTCCATCCTGTGCACTGAATTGAAAAAATAGCATGTGATCATGTAACTAAGGAGTATCCTTTGTGTGTGTGTGTGTGTGTGTGTGTGTGTGTGTATATATATATATATATATATACATGTTTATGCATGCATGCACAAAAACAGAAAATGGGTGTCT